CGCCGACGGAAGGGGGGGGGGGGTTCGATGCGAGGGCATCTGGCAGGGCCCTGGATATGGCTTATTCGGCGCCTGCGGAGGGTGTGCAAGGTGGCAGTTAAAGGAACACAGGACACCGAAGCTATGCTACGCCTGCTACACCTCTCGCCGCACCCACTTATACTGGTGGGTGTGCAAGGAGGTGTAGCAGGCGCAGCATAGCTTCGATGTCCTGTCCTCATCTACCGATACCACCTTGCACACCCTCCGCAGGCGCCGAATAAACCGTATCCAGGGCCCTAGCGGATGCCCCCGCATGAACACACACACACACGCGGGCTTGGGCACGACAGTGGCCAACGCCAACAACAGTTGCCTGACCGGGGGGGGGCTGCGTATAAACGCTCGGCCAGCTTGTTGATCGCCTGGTGGCGCCGCAGGTTGGCTTGGAGGCCAGTACTTGGAAAGGCTTCGCCATCGTTTCAGCCAGCCCCCCCGCAGGCCTTAGACAAACGCCGTCACCCGCTGAAGCTTCGCGTCCGTGCTCGCCGTCTTATGCGTTTGGCACCTAGGGAAAATGGTACATGGGAAGAGTCGGCATCACCTCGACGACTGCAGAGCCGGGGCATTGCAATCACGACAGGCCAGGAAGTTCACCGATGATACTCCCTTCCAAGCACACTGGCACCACTCGAATGTGAGTGCACTGCACAGAATGCAGGGCATTGGCATGCCACCTCGCAACGGTGTCCTCGTGCTGGCATTGCTTTGCCCAGGTATGGGCCACCTTGGAAGGGCAAGCAGTTGTGTTCCCATGCCAGCCGACCGCGGTGAACATGGCCGCCTGCCCAGGGTCCACGCCGTAAACCATGTGGATGTCGACTGCATCAGAAAAGGGCTCAAGCATGCAGTGGGGGGAGGTAGGGCACACCACCATGTCCACCGGTTATCTCCAGGCAACCCGGCCCTGCCACTGGAGGGCCAGCCTTAAGATTGAGGTACTCCAGAGGCAACAGTCCTGGACCTCCCTGGTCGCAAAGCAGTGCGTCCACAGAGAGCACGGTACACCCAACATGGCCCTGGTAAAAACTGTGCCGCATGTCATCCCCCACTTGATCGGCTGAGACCATGCACTGCGAGCAGCTCGCCAATGGCAGAGCATCTTGCATTCGCTCCCATCACGATTGGGAGAGTGGCAAGAGGCTGTGGACTGCTCCAATGGGCAAGTGAAGGCCAAGGTGAGCTTGTATCTGCTATGAATCCCAACCCTTGTTATCAGGAAGACCAGCATCCAGGCAGGAAATGTGTTGTTGGGAGCCATATCGGGCCTAGTGAGGGCGACGGATGAGAGGGTTCCCGCAATGGTCACCAAGCTGAAAAGCAGGACACCGAGCACGATCAATGTGAGCGGACTGCCTCGAATGGCCATTGCAGCCGACAATCTAATCATTCTTAGACATTTACCATAAGAATCTGCCTTTATTGGTGCGATTCCATCCTCGACTGGCCACAGGGAGGCGTCGGCGAGGGGTAAATACTAATCCAGCCTAGAAGGCCCCCCGCAGCCATATAAAGCGATGAATGATGCTTGCATGTATACTTTGAACATGGGTGTGCCCCGGTAAGGTGGTGGACTGGGTCTTGGAGCATTGTCCCGGGATGGCAGGAGTACACCGTCCCGGGAAATCGCAAATCTAATCTCTGCAGGGTGGAGTTGCATGAACTCTCGACTGCGCATTGTGAGTGCCTAGACTGCACTCGGAACTTTTCGGATACCTCATCCATTGCCATCGCCATGCAGACTACACTGTCGGGCCTGCGCGCACCGAGTCACGGGCTCGGTGTGCAACGCTGCCGTCCACGCCAGACTATGCGTTTCGCGGTGCATGCCAACACCCGATGGAGCCTGGCTCCTCGCAAGCAGAAGAGCAAGTTCTTCGAGGGCGCCTCCGAGGAGGTACAGCTTATTGGGGAGTCGGGTGCGCATCGCCTGCGCTCGGACCCTGGGAACAGTGCTCAGAAGGTGGGTTGGTGAGGATCCGCATGCGCCCGCAGGGTGGATCGGTGAGGCAATGGCAGATGATGTCAGCCCTCCCTTATCTGTCCAATCAGCCCCCTCCATCCGCCCTTCCAACACGTCACCCCTTCCCTTCCAGGATGGGGACGAGACAGTGCTGGAGGCTGGCGGCATCAACATCCTCTTTGAGGCGGAGGGCGCCTCCCACCCTGACGACTCCCCCTCCGTCCTGTACGTCACCGATGTCGACTCCGACCTGGAGATTTACCTGGACGGCGCGGAGCTGAAGAAGGGGAAGCGCACCAAGGTCAAGCCTGGCGCCAAGCTGGACTTTGGTGACGAGGCCAGTTATACGGTGGGAAAGAAGAGCATGTGGGGGAAGAAGGAAGGGGAAGCGTACCTGGTGGCGGTCCATAGTGCCGATGGCCATGGCACTCCCTGCAATCTCAGGTGTCAATCTTTCCTTCCCAGATCCTGCGCAACGTCGCCACGCATGCCTGATTGGATGCCACCCCGGCGCGGGTGCAGCTTATTTGCTCCCCTCGCGAGCGGGCATTCGGTGCATGCGCCGAACTGGGACGGGGCGGCGCGGGGCCCTGAGAGCACTCTGTTCTTCACCAATTCCCTTGACACCCCTGAACCCGGCCAAATGGCCTTGCCCCTCCGCTCTGCAATTGGAATGGTTCTGCATTGCACTGCCCCTGGCCTCTCTTCTCTCTGTAACCTGGCGATGCAGCGTGACATGCAGTCTCAGGCGTCGACTCACAGAGCAGCTCAGACTGGGACCCATCAGGCGTTGACCTGGGCCGCAGCGGCCGCCTGGGTGAGGGAGGCCAGGCTGACGGGGATGCCCGGGCCCATGGTGGAGGAAAGCATGGCGGCGCGCACGTAGGCCCCCGCCCCGCCCTTGAGGCCGCGCGGCCTGGCCGCCAGGATGGCGGCCATGAAGCTTGCCACGTTCCCGGCCAGCGCGGCGTCGGTGAAGGACACCTTGCCCAGCCCTGCATGCACCACGCCGCCCTTGTCCGCCCTGGCTCCGCGGGTGCAAGGAAGGAGGAGCGAGTGGGTGGGCAGGTATGGAAGCCCTGTCGCGGGTCCTGGGCAAGGTTGATCTGCCCACATCACCCTCCTGTCGAACCCCTTCCTCCCACACGACCACGGCCCACCCTCACCCATACTCCCCAACCCCAACCCCGAGCCGCCTGCCCTGCCATCACCTGAACTCCACCTTCCCCCGCTTCAGCGCCGCCACCGCCTCGCCCACGTTGGCAGTCACGGTACCCAGCTTGGGGTTGGGCATGAGGCCGCGGGGCCCCAGGATCCGAGCCACGCGGCCCACCTTGGGCATCATGGAGGGCGTGGCCACCGCCTTGTCAAAGTCCAGCCCGCCCCCGCCGGCGATGGAGGCGATCAAGTCCTCGGCTCCCACCACCTCCGCTCCTGCACAGGTGTGTACGGGGGGGTTCTTGAGCGCCATGTCTGCATGTCGCGGAGTTGCGGACTGCCAAGGTGCCAGTGGCAGTCAGTCACGCCTGGCGTATCTTCTGGGCAAGCTTGCGCCGAGGGGGCCGGGCGACGCACGACGTCAGCGTCGCACCCGGACCCATGTCTCCCCTCCACGCCAGATGTTGAGACCGCCTCCACTGGCTCCCTGCACCACCAATCCCCCCACGAAGGCCGCGATTTCCAACGCAGGGCCACTTTCCCCTGCAGCACCTGCTTCGCGGGCGGCGATGGCGTCCTCGCCGCTGGCAAACACGGCCACGCGGACGCTGCGCCCCGTACCGTGCGGGAGCTGGGTGACGCCCCTGACCATCTGGTCGCCCCGCCGGGGGTCGATACCCAGAGTCAGGGCCAGCTCTACCGTCTCGTCGAACTTGGCACGCTTGGAGGCCTGCAATTGTTTGGGTGTGTGACAGTGGACTGCGAGAGGATGCAGGAGGAGGTGTGAGGGTAGGCTGGCAAGGGGAGGTTCTCCCAAATTATCGCACAGGCGCCTGTGGGTCTGGCTGGGCAGGCACCCACCTTGACACGGGCGAGGGCTGTTGCGAGGGGAATAGGAGCCATTCGATCCTTCTTCTTGGACTGGATCGTCGTGGGGAAGGGTAGACCATCCAGGGTGCGGTAGCCTTGAGGTGGGGGCGTCGCCTCGGCGGAGGGACCCGCACCGGAGGTCGAGGCGAGGGGGTCGGCAGCATCCTGTGGTTAATGGTTGAAATCAATCGACAGTCTCCAAAGGCAAGAATGCACTTTGGGTGCCCCAGCACCAATCAGACATACCGTGGCAAAGGCCTGCATATGCCTTGCTCCTCGGCACAGCGCGCCCCGACTTTGTCGCAACATGGCAGCCGCACGACTATGTGTATATTATATCGATACCAGACCCGATGAGTCTCCTGATGCTCGTCGTTGTGGGCCTGGGTAGATGCCGAGCTGCAGCCACGACGGCACACACCCTGAGAGACTGCAGGAATCGCCCCAGAGAACGTCCCGGGGTGGCAGGCTTACTTGATTAGGATTTATCTCAGAGACACGAATATTGGACTCAATGCTGCTGTACATTTGACCTATTCTGGAGGGGCAACCAGTATTTCGCCGAGAGACATTCCGTGTTTTCCTGGCATGTGATTGGCTGCCAACTGTAATGCCACCCTGAGGAGAAATGGGTCCCGGTGCCACTATGGCTAGAATTCTTTGTCATCACCTCGAGTGGCAGTAGCACGGAGGTTTGAGCGCCGATTACTCTGTGGCAAGCAGGAACAGATATACCATGGTGTAGATTGGCCTATGTAATGCTGACCAGTTCTGAATGGTTCCGTGATGCCTGGCATTGCGATAGCAACGGGGGGGTTGCAAGCAACAAACTTTCTTCTTTGTCAGGCACATGAGCAATTTGGGAGGACCTGGGGTTTTATCTGGTCTTCTGATTATGAGGGTCTAGCACCGGTAGCACGTTGGCAGGAGGTGGCGATCATGGCGGGAAGAGGATTCGGGCGTTTAAACGCGGGATGTCGAGATGCCGGGTGCTGTCACAAACGTCACGCCGTAAGGCTGTTTCGTACAAGGTGGATCGCATCACTTACGCACATTTTGCCCATTGAACGCTGCCACGATGGCCACCAAGGCCCCGGGCCCGCCCAAGTCCACGACCCCGTCCTCGGGGACCACGGCCACTCTTCGCGCTCTGTACAGTGCCATGCAGTCTATAGAGGTGCGAGGGCAATACAGTGTTTTAAATCTGTTATGATCCCTCAATTTCATGTGGGCTACGCAAGGACCATACCGCTCCACACACACCCCTGCATCTCGCAGAACCGGCTGGGAGGCGGGGAAGGAGTGGAAGGCTTGTACGGCTCCATCACCTGCACCGGTACGCAAAAGGTGCTCGCCGCCATGTCCAAGCACTGTGGCTTGGACAAGGACTCCGTGCTGGTGGACATTGGCGCGGGCCTGGGCAGGTGAGGCTCTCGACGATACCAACTGACGTGCACTGGCACCACCTGTCCTGGTGGTGGTTCGTTGGCGCCCCACCCATGATCCCATCCCCGCACTCACCTCCGCACCCCCGACACCCCCCTCCCATGCCAGACCCCTCTTGCATGCCCTGATCGAACCCGGGGTCAAGGCCACCCATGGCGTGGAGCTGGACCAGATCAAGGTGGACAAGGCCCACGCTTTCCTCAAGCAGACGGCGCAACGGCTCCAGGCCCGGGGCCTGGTCCGCGCTGACATGGTGCTGCCCACCATGCAGTGCGCTGCCATCGAGCAGGTGTGAGGGGGTGCATGTCGTGGGCTGGGCATGGTGCTGATCTCGTTGCGGATTCCAATGCAGGGGCAGATGACGTCGCTCGGGTGCCCACTGCAGGTGCCAGTTGCACATGCCACCCCCCACACCCCACCACACACAGGTGGCCCAGCTGACCGACTGCACGCACGCCTACTCCTTCTGGGAGGGCCGTTCCCCCCCCCGGCAGAGCTGCCTTCGGGCGCCTCTTCCGCTCCAGCCCCAGCCTGCGCGGAGTTGCGGTGGTCCAGCGCGCCATGCGCACCGACCCAGAGGCCGCCATGGCTGCCATGGGCTTCGGGCCCCTGCTCCTCAGGGCCTCCTTCCCAGTGTCCATGTCGGGCAGCGGCCGCAGCTTCACCGCCTACATCTTCCAGAGGTCGGATGGCGGCTCAGAGGAGCAGCAGCGGAAGGCTGCCCCCAGTACCAGCGTGCAAGAGGAGGTCCCAACGCCCTGCCGGTCCCAAGACGACGCCGTCGTCCCTGCAGAGGAGAGCTCGGGCTTTGAGACCAGGGACCGACCGGACGGGGCCCTAACCGCGCGCCAGTCACGGGCGAGCGCGCGGCGGACGGCTGCGGTCCATCCCTCGGCCGACGAAGAAGGCTGCGTGACAGGGCCCCCGCCGCTGGGCGGTAAGACCGGTGCAGCCAGGTGTGAGGGAGCGCCTCCCCAGCAAATCAGCGGCCGTCCATCGGGTGCTGACGCGGCAGCGCCCATCCCCATGCCCATGCCGCCGCAGCACTCCGCGGAGCTCGGCGTCACACAGCTCAGCAGGGCAGCAAGCACTGCTTCTGCATCGACACCAAAGGCTCCTGCCCCATCCCCCATCAAGCAAGCCAGCTGCCAGAGGCCTGGAGTGATGAAGAAGGTTTCGCCTGTCAAACCTGCAACAGCTCGTCAAGGTGACATGGAGTGGTGGACCTTTGTGACAATTCTTGTTGACTCCCTCTGCAGGCAGTGCTGCAACAACGTCCAGTTTGTATGAATCAGCCCTTCAATCACACCAACTTCTCACTCAACAGGACGCCTGCCTTCGCTCCGCCGTGCCAAGCCATCCATGGTGACCACCTTGAACAAGGCTTTGCCTTCGAAGGATGTCGTTGCCAATGCTCGGGAGGCTGATGAGGGTCTGCGCCCTCGCGCTGCCAGGGGGCTCGCAGCAGCCCTCAGCAGACATTGACTTCATATGACAGCCATGCCCATACAATATTACCCATGACATTCTGGCCAAGTAACCGCTGAAGACTGGACTCAAGCGTGATGCACCATGCATATGCATGTTAGGATACCCCCCTTGCTCAAAGCAGATGTAGTAGCATATTTCCGGGGGTGTCCTGGTATAGCCCTCAGTGCATTGCCCGGTCGCATGACGTTTCACAGTACGAGGTGTCAAAAGCGAAATCTGCTTGAAGCAGTTATGTACGAGAGTGGTCCGAAAATACCAGCCCCATCATGCATATATTGAACGTTCTCCCCAGCTGTGGGACCACCGGCATTCCTCTAAGCAATTTTCCATGTCATCAATCCTCCGCCGTGACCAGGACCGGTCCCGGTGATGGCTGCCTTGGTGCTGCTCAGCTGAGCCTCAGGACACCTGCTGGACATTTCGATTTGGAAATTATATTTGCTTCCCGCCTCAACTCGAGCAATCGCGGCATACCTCGGAAAGTTCAGCCTCCTTCCCGGAGGTTCGCCTTGTGCACGTGGGTAAGAGACAGCTACGCGGCAACTACGGGGACGGTTCCTCGTAGCCCGTATCCTTTGGGCTAGAAGAAGCCTCTTTCGGCACAGGATCGGCACCATTCTCAACAACTCTTCCAACTTCCTACTCCTCCATTTCCACCTTCCAACCCATCAAAACCTCCTATCATGTCTGGCTCCGGCAAGCCCATCTCTGAGCAGGCGCAGGATGCCCTGAACGCCGCCTCCAACAAGGCCGCGGAGACCTGGGACGCAGCCAAGAACAAGGCCTCCGAGGTGAGCTACGACACTCGATAACGCGATTGATAGTTCCGAACAGCATTGCTATGATGTCGGGGTGCGTGCAAGGAATTCAATGCGCGAGCCATTGTTCCGGCAAACAACGATCGCTCATCGCCTTTTAACCCCTTGCTTAATCTATTGCAGCTGGCCGGAACCGCCCAGAACAGGGCTGAGGAGACGAAGAACCAGGCCTCCTCCAGGCAGTCCGGCACCGGCGGCCTGATCGACGACGCCAAGAACAAGGCCAACGAGTTCGGCAACCGCGTGGGCGAGAAGACCACCGAGGCAAAGCACAGCCTGCAGGAGGGTGCCGACAAGGCCGCCAACCGCGCCGACGAGACCGCTCGCTGAATGTCCAAATTTTGATGCTGTTTCCCTTGCCGTGATGTAGTGTAGGATCCTGAAGTAGGACTGTGTTAATGTAACCTACACCAACCATGGTTGATGGTAGAAGGGAATCATAGTGGTGTATCTGGTATGACCCATCACAATTCAAATACACTTTGAATCAAATGAAATGTTACAACGCATAGTCTGCCTCTAGAAAAATTCGTATTGTTACAAGAAAGTCATCAGCATGGAACCACATGCCATGCGTGGCAAAAGTTTACAAACCATTCTTAAGTGGGGCCGATCCGCGTAGCGACCCTGTCAGCGAGCCCAGGCGAATACTCGACCCAGGGAGGGTTGGCTTGGGAGCATCTACCTCGCCGGCATCAGCTTTGATGGCCATGCGACTCGTAGACTGGTTGAGGAGGCCCAGGGAGACCAGCTGCACCCTCGACAGCATCCCAGCCCTGGCAGTGCCGGCATGGATTGGAGCACCTGAGAGCGACTCTCAGACATACGCAGAAGCACCTGAGAGCGACTCCCAGACATACGCAGAAGCACCTGACAGCGACCCTGAGACATACACAGTAGCTACCATGTGGTCGTGCTCGTTCCCGCTTCTGGTACAAGTTTGTCCCCCGGCATTGCCTGCATCAACCAAGGTCTCACCTCCTCCATTTAAACAAGCTCCCCCACCCGGGGCCCCACCTCCGCTTGAGTCGGTCCAGGGATGCCTGATACTCCTCCCCCAGCTCCGACTCGAGCTGGCGGACCTCCGAAGGAGTGATGCGGGCCACCCACTTCCGGTCGGAGCACCGCACGGGGACCACCCCCCTCCCCTCGTCCAGACTGTGCCCATCGCTGGTGCCATACTTGCCAGAGATCTCGGAGGGCGCGTCAGCGAACCTCACTCTGTTGGGTGAGGGAAACAAAGAGAGGGTGGGGGTGGCTATCATGGGGTGGCGGGGGGATGTCTTGCAGAGGGGTAGCCCAGCAGGAGGCGCCAGCTTCTCCTCCTTCCCACCAATGCCCTGGCCTCCCTGATTGGGAAGACGCTCGGCTGGGCCGCTCCCAACAAGACGCGCTTCTGGTCCCCCACCAACCCGCAGCCAGGCTCACCGCTTGGCTCTCCCTGTGGGGCTCTGCGCGCAGACACACTCCGTGCCGGTGCCCGGCTCCGTCTCAGAATCCGAGCACTCCGGCTCGCTGCTCCGCTTCCTCCGAGACCTGCCCATGATCGGGCTCATCTGACTGCCATCCCACACATGGTTCCTCGCATCTAAATGCACTTAATGAGCTGAAACTACGAAGCGCTGCTGTGTGGTGGCCGCAAGATATCCCTCCACGATATTTCAGAGCAGCACGGAATCGTTGAGACCAAGCCCGCTCTCCAGAGGTCTACGCACTCCTTTTTCAGGCACACCGAGGGATGGTCTTGATAATGCGGCAGATTAGTTATTGCAGTGAGCACTTGCTTACGACATGTGCTGAGAGTCTCAGCAAAATGATACTTGGGTCGTCGGATATATCACAGCATGCGGTTCAGGGAGCATGGACAAAATTGAATCTCCGACATGGAACCACCACGGCGTTCTTCATTCGAATGCAGGGGATCGTGGATTACATCTATACCTGAAAGGTGAAAGGGATTGCAACGCTCTATCACTCGGTATGGATCGCTGCGTTTTGGACAGGACTGCTTTGGGCATGAAGCAGGCACGGCATGGCCTGAGAATCTGCGCCATCCGCCCTGTCAAAGAGCGACAAAAATACATGACTTGCGCGCTCACATCACCATGGAGCTTGCCACAGACACTCAGTCTGGCACACGAGCAAGCTGTGAGTTTGCATGAGGAGGATTGTGGAGCAAGGTTTACAGACCAGTGAGTCGTTCTAGTTGGCCGCTGGCGCTCCGTGAGCCCTCATGCCCATGGATCCCAAGGCCTGCATCTTGTCGACATGCAGCCGCATCAAAATCTGGAAAGGATACTCTTAGATTGCATGGGAATGCCCACCTCGTCCTGTTGCACTCACAACACCCCCCCTTCCCTGCTACCTGTGTGCCAGACGGGAGCGGCTACACACCTTCTTCGCCTCCGCTTGAAGACCATGCCAGAGCGTGGCTCTGCGCTGTTAGACCCCGAAGCCTCCGTCCAGCTGTACCTGATGTCTGAAGATGGTGCGGCGCTGCTATGCCGACTCCCTGCGTTCTGCAGCAAAGCCGTGCGTAGGGTGTTGTGCACCAAGGTGAAAACACTTTATCGCAAGCTACCCTGTTGATGCTATTTCCTGCTGGACCCTGGCCTCGACAAGTTCATGCCTCATGTAGCTCTCTTTGCAATCTTCCCAGGCCCGGCGTTTCCAAGAGGGTGCCACGGATGAGGTGATTGCACGGGCTTAGAGGGAATGTGCCATGGCTCTTTTGGCTGACCGCAGGCGTCGGGCACCATGGATGCCCCGGCAGGCGCTGCCCAGGCCTGCATCCCAGTGTTGTGTGCCCAGCCCTTGCCCCGCCGCTGTCTGGCAGTGTCAGCGACCACTGCTGAAGGCTACCAAAAAGAGTCCTTGATAGAAATGGGAATTCTGGGCCACGTTCGCATCATCGTTCCCCCTGTTGGAAGGCGAACAATTGCCATCCCTTCCCCTTGTCCCCCAGGTCGAACTGTATGGTCCACCGCTGGGACGACTTCAAGCCTGCCTGCTGGGTCCTGATCGGGGGACTTGGGCCTGCGACACCCTAGAAGTGCAGCATGGAGAGGCCACAGATAGGTGACGCTGGCATGGAAGGAGTCGTTGAGCATCGGGATCTGCCTTTGGCGGCGATGCCTGTCCATGGCTGCTGGGCTGGGAGACCATGCGAAGAGGTGTTGCAGTCATGGCCGGCTTCATCCCTGACGGCCCCTCCCACATGCCCCCTCAACCATCACGCCCTCCCTCGACCCCAGATTCGTCTGCCGGCAGCGCCTGGGGCTACGTGGCGCCGAGTCGGCGGCCCTCCTCCTCCCAATGGCAGAGGGGAGTGTGCTGGTGGGCTCGCGCGTCCTGGACCCCGACGAGGCTGCCGCCATGAGAGCGGCAGGCATGCAGGCCTTCAGCTCCCTGTCCCTGCGTCTGGGCTGGGGCGGGGCCGCGGGGGCGGTCTCTGCCGTGGCCCTGACGACCCTGGCCCTGGGACCCGGGGCGGGCACGGCGGCCGGGGTGGGTGGGGCCGGCGGGCTCGTGGGTCTGGCTGTCCAGAGCGCTTACGTCGCCAGACTAGGGAATGGGGAGGGGAGAGAGGGCATGGCCGGCCTGCGGTCCCTCCTTTCCGGACCTGTGCGAGTCGCGCTGCCCGCACTCTTGCTCCTGGCAGGCTACAAGGCCCTTCAGGTCCGAGGCGGGATGTTTGGAGGGGCTCTGGGGGAAGGGCGGCGTGGAAGAAGCCGGGAGGTGATGGGGATTACGGGCAGATCAGGGTGGGAGTCACGAGGTGTACTCCATTGTGGTCGTGTGCAACGGGATTGAAGGAATACTGCATGGGCGTCCAGAAACCTGCATGTGCTGTGCCAGTGACAGCCAAAGGGTAGGAGCATGAGGCTCTCTGAAACCATGGTCATCCCTCCTCCTTTCCCCCTCCTGCATCCATGCCAGCACTGGGATGGTCTGCTTGACGTCACCCCCTCCACCAGGATCCTCTGTGTCCTGGGTGGCTACCTGGGCTACAAAGCGGGCGTCATCCTGGCTGCAGCGCTCACAAAGGATGCATGAAGAAAACCCAGGCAGAGTGTCCCTGATCAGCGCCGAAAGCCTTGCCTCACACCGATGCTCCCTCCATCTGGCTTCCCTGTATGAGTTGACATCTTTCTCTAAGAATAAATACAATCTAAATTGCCAGGCAAGGGATAGAGCCCCCTGCAGGGCAAGCTTATTTGTTGGGCGAAAGGGACCAGATGCAGCACCCCCGGCTGTCGTCCAGGGGGCATACTGGGAGTGTGGGGGTGAACGACGCTGACGCCGTGTGGCATTATGCCCATGATGCAGAACAGGAAAGGGGTTGATGGTGGCCAGGGGGAGGCATTGCATGAGAGGAGGGGGTCTGGGGGACGATACCGCCCTCTCCCCCTGGCTCCTGGTTCATGACCCGCCGTCCAGCAGCCCCGCGCCGTGCAGCGGCTGCTGCCCCGCCAGGCGCTGCGCCTCATGCTGCAGGGCCAGCGCGGCGGCCTCCTCCTCGCCGGCCCCACCCGCCAGGATGGAGCCCAGCTCTGCCTCCACCTCCGCCTCCACCCCCGCCCGCCCAGACCGCTCCCCCGCCGCCTCCTGGCGCCGCAGGTCGGCGACCATGGTGCGCGTGATGGCGGCGTCCACGTCGCGCTCCAGCGTGCGGGGGCTGGTCGGCTCATCCCCGGCGCAGGTGCCCCCGCTCGTCCCCGTCAGCGCGGCGGCGAGCTGCTGCGCCAGGAGCTGCGCAGCGGCGCGGCCCGGGGCGGGCGCGGCGGCCGGCGCCGTGCCCCCCTCTGCGCCGGCCTGGGTCCCCGCCGCGGGCTGCTGGCCCAGGGACCCCAGCTGCCGCTCCAGGCCCGTCAGCGCGGGGCGCAGCATCTGGCCAAAGGGGGTGGCCAGCACCTCCTCGGGCAGCGCCGTGATGTGGGCCGGGATGCCCTCGCCCACCAGCAGACGGGCAAAGTCATCGGAGAAGTTGTTGCAGTTGTTGTCGAAGAGGGAGTAGGCGGCGGGGGAGTAGCGCTCCGACAGGTCGGCCAGCAGGGCGTCGCGGGTGCCCGAGTCCAGGTGCGTGCGGCTGGGGTGGACCGGGGGGAGAAGGGTGGAGTGAGCCGAGGCGCGGTGGGCCTCACGGCAGCGTCAGAGGTTGCAGGGTTGGGCGGGCAGCACCTTGCTGCCCATGGACGTCTCCCCACTGCTCTGCCTCCCCACCCCCCCTTCCCGAATCCAAAGCCTCCTCGCACCCCAGCTCGATGACCTCGACCGGCGTGCCGCAGGGCGTGGTGCCTGGGGTGGCGGAGTTGATGCCATGCCCGTAGAAATACTCGGTGCCCCCTACCACGATGGAAGTATGCCACACACCCTCGATCTGAATGGGGAGCGGGGTTGGGCGTGTTCAAAAGGGACGATCATATGGATGTTTTGGGCAGACAGTCGTCCCTGTCTCCCACGACGCACCGTTTTATCCAGCAGCATCGGGCTGAAGACCTTGGCCAGGCCCCGGCTGAGGTCGTAGACATACAGCTGCACAGCCTCGCCATCGCTCATTCTGAAACCTTCTTTGTCCCAGATTTACGCCACGATACTAATACACAGTAAGAGGTCAGCTCGAATCTTCCCGCTTGCCTTCCTGGGCCGAGCATGCGTGCGGAATAGTCCAGAACGTCGTGGGCGCGCAACAATCGTTCGAACTGCAAAATCAACCCCTTCAAGCCCCCCCTCCAGTCACAAAACTATACAGGCAGGAAGGTTTCGGTTCCGGGTTCCATGGCACCTCCAAGGCCATGAACAATCTCAATGTCATTCGCCACATGCACGCACAGGCCTGGTGTGCGCTCACACATCCTTCGTCACAGCTGCGCATCGCGGCCCGCCAGCGCATTGAACAGGTCGGTGCGGGTGACCATGCCCACCACCCGCTTGCTGTCATCCACGATGGGGATGCGGTGGATCTTGTACTGCAGGGAGGGGGCGACCAGGGCTGTGCTGAGACATGCGATAGGAGAGCTTCATGGCACTCTCACAGAACTCGAGAAGCTCCTGGTCACTCGGTTGAGCTTGCCCCGCAGCACAACGATAACGTCTGCTCACCACCATCCACCCTTACCCACCACACCACTCCCATCCCAGCACCTTGAGCATGGTGGCGGCAGCGTGCTCCACCTTGTTTGTGACGTGGAGCGCTATGGGCGGCGAGGTCATGATGTCCTGGGAAAGGGGCGAAGTAGTGCCAAGGTGTGGCTGTGGAGTGGGCAGGGCTGTGAGGCATGCAGGCAATGTTGTACCGGCATGCTCATGATGCATCTTGAGGCACGGGGCTGCAACAGCAACAAAACAGGAAAAAGAGATGAAGAACCATGGACAAGATAGATCAAACACTGTCCTTAGATATGCACCCACGGCCCACAGACCAGTGAGCCGATGGTCCTGGGCATTGCGTCCACACAGGAGATGTGCTCTGGGCGGAACAAAGAGCCTCCCTTCCACCAAGTCCCCGCCCACCTTCACCAGGCTCCCAGTCTTGGTGTTAACGTCCTTGACGGTGATCACGCCGATCAGAGCGTCATCCTCGGGCCTGAGCACCGGCAGACCGCTGACAACATCAAAGTGACGAGAGGCCTGCGATTGTGTGTGTTTAAACAGTGGGTCTCAGATGACTCTGCTTGTTTGGGCAGACATCGTGTTGACATGTGCAACATCCATAGTGTGCTGCCCTCTGTAGGAACTACCCCTTGCCACTCACCTCACTGATGGGATCATCGGGATAGACGGTCCTGAGATCCTTCTGCAAGGGGCAGAGGCAAACAGGAGGATCTGAGCTGAGCATCTGATCGAGTTGGCTGCATAGGGCTCCCAGGAAATCTACTCACGATGGTCATCAGCCTCCCTCGGGACCCCCTCACCGACATGACGGACGCCAGGCGCGTGGTAGGGTGCTGGCCCTCTTTCAGCACCCTGCGATTGAAGTACTCCTGAACATCGTCGTAGCTCGCGAGTGACCTGATCAGGGAGAGGCGCCGGAGGGTTGTCGGGACGCAAGGATCTATCACTCTGGTTTGATTTCGGAGCTCCATGCGCGCACGCACTCACCAAGAGGCCTCCCACTCTCCGCTGACGATGCCGTCCGCGTCCACATCCGCCGATGCCCTGGAGAGGAGCATCCTGGGACGCGCCGCGGGCCTCGTGTGCGCCGTGCGCGTGCGGGAGGAGGCTTGGGTCAACCTTCCGACATGGGCGAGGCTGGTAGACAGAGACAGGGCCGACATGCTGGGCTGTGCCAGGATCCTTCCGAGACCGGTTTGGATGTAATGAAATGTTTCGAATCTATGTCAGGGAGTTCGGGTTTAAACCGGGGGCGTAACGGCGTGCCGAGGTTTCGGACGAGCACTCTTCAAAAAGTGCGGGATATGGTCGAGATCTGCAAATCCTGGAGGGTGGAAATGGGCTCACCATCTTTCCCAACAACGTGCGGATGTAGCCCGAGTGACAGTTTAGGTTGGCAATTTATAGTCTCAAGGTGTACAAGAAAATAGACAAGGGCATGCTGCACCGTCACCATAGACTGGAGACAGCCACCTCGGTGACAATGGGGGCTGGAATCGTGCTGGCCCAGTCGGTGAGGTGGGTGGGGAACAGGCCCATGCCGTAGATGCGATAGCACGCATACGCAAGACCCAGGCCGTTGACCAGGCAGTAGATCAGGCGGGGAGTCAGGGTGTCCAGCTTCTTCTCAGGGTCGGGCGGGAAGACTGTGGAGGGGTGAGGTTGGCAGTTGAGGTCAGGGCAATGACCGTTTGTGAATGAGGTGGCTGGTTGCCTAGGGTGTAGAAACCTTCTTGGACAGAGCACTGCTCCCGTGCAATGCCAGCGATGCACGCCAGGATCAGTATACACTTCTTGCACATCCATCCTTTTGAACATTTTGGAAAGTCAATGTGCGTTGTTCATTGCCGGGGGCCCACCTGCCCTCCAGACTCCAAAATTCCAACATACGCCCCAAATGCAGCACCGTACCCCTACCTTCGCCCGACTTGAGGATGGCAGATATGGGTTGGTACACCCCAGACGCAGTGGTCATGATGGAAAAGAGGTGGAGCTGGGCGCCCGCCATCCACATCATGAAGCTCATCATTGCAACATTCTTAAAAGGGCTTTGCGCCAGGCTGAAGAGGGCCGCCTGGCGGTTTGCGAGGTTGGAGCGCCTCGATGAAGCGCCGGAAAGCTCCGACTGCGGGATGGGTCGGGAGGCAGAGGTGACTGGGCACTCCGGTGAAGGGATCCCTGGGGCAGGTTCGGGATTTTGCATGGCGAGAGAGTCACAAACCTCACCTGATCCCTTGCGAACGATAGATCGAACCCTATAGGATCTCCAACCGTCTTCTTTGATGTCACTAGGCTATTGGAGTCGAGGTCCACCTTGAACTTGCGGAACTCGGCCATAGCTCGCCAAGAAACACGATGGATGTCTCCAGAAGGGCTCTCACTTAATAAGAATATATGCAGTACACCAAACTTTGTAGAACTATCTTGCCGAAGGACAGACTTCACTGGGTTCGGCTTGACGAAGAGGCATCGCATGGGCCGGTCCCACAACCGTGCCTGGAGGGCGCCGGATGGTAATCTGCTTCCCTGCCCTGTCACACCTGATGACTGACCATGGGATGGATAGGATGCATCGAATCTGTAGAGCCTCGTTTGAATCTGAACTTTGCAAATATCCCAGGGCAAGCGCTTGTATGCTACCCATGTATTCCCTGCCATGCTCACTTGACAAACACTACCTTCAACGATAATGAATGGAGGCTAGATGATTCGGATCTCGCGTATGTGAAACCAAAGCGTCCTGCATGCATCCTGCTAAAAGTGACTGGTGTATGTCCATGCCAGGATGTCAGACGACGGCGCTGCCCATGCTCTGGACATATGTGTGGAGGTCAGCTTCCAGACTGCTGCCTTCAAGCCCATGGCCAGGACGCACTCCTCCATACTCTGATGGCAGCTCCTCTGCTGGAATGTACTCCAAGATGGCTCGTCGCATAGCCTCTTGCTCCTGGCAAGGTTCGGGAAAGTGGCCATTAGAGGGCTGGAATTATGCTCAGAGGATGTACTCTTGCTGCGAAACAACTGGGCATGGAGTGTCAAGCACCACCCACCAGCATCCGGGAATGGCAACCCGATCTCTCGTCATGGAAAGGCCGCTAGCGCCGGCACCCGCTCAGCCGCACTCACCCCTCTGCCGAAGACGACCATGCGCTCCCGGACTTTCTTGGTGATCAAGGGGCTGACCAGTTTCCAGGCCAGAGACCTGCACAGGGATACGGCAGGGAGTGTTTGGGCATCCCTCTGTTGAATCCCGATTCTGGGTGCCTGTGCATGCCCCTCCCCATCCCATTCGCACATCTTGCACTGGAGTACCCCAGTGTGCGGGCATGTCCGCCACCTTTTGCCCGCCCCTCCCGCCAGCCTACCACCAGGAGGGTGCGTTGACGAGGAAGGCACGGTGCAATCGCTGAGGAAAGTTGACAGCCAGGAGGGCACCCGCCTGCAGGGTGGCGGCGGGGATGGCGAGAGTGAGGGTCTGCCCGAGGCCCTGGCGCTCATGGCGACGCCGGGGTTCGTTGATCGAAGTCGCGCCACGGTGGAGCATAGCCTCCACCCCAAGCCGCGCCCCCCTCACCTTGCTGATGAACTTGAATCCCTCGGAGCGCAGGTCTCCCATGCTCAGCGCCCCCAGGTCCACGATCTTGTAGGTCTTTCCCCCCGGCAGCGGCGCCGTGTCCAGCACCTTGAACACGTACTCGTAGGTGAACATGAGGTGGGCGAGGAGTTCGTCCTGGCCCACCCCCTCCCGCGCCAGGCGTGGGTAGGCGGCGGGCAGCTGGGACAGGCACTCTAGCTCCACCACCGACCCGTCCCGCGCCCGGCCCAGCAAGCCGTGCGTGTAGTGGCGCTTGACGGCGGCGAAGGCCGGCTGCGGCCGAAAGGCCACGTCCAGCATGCCCCTGCTGGTCACAAAGTCCACCATGCCGCGCATGGCGGCGGCGGCGCGCGCCTCCGTCTCCAGCCCCGCCAGGAAGCGCGCCGCCACGTCCGGCGTCAGCACCCCCGGGTGCGCGCGCGTCAGCGCCAGCAGCCCCGGCGGCAGCGCGGCGTGCACGGTGCTGGCGGGGGCAAGTCCGCTCCAGGACAGTGTCCGGCTGACGGACAGGGAGGGCATCAGCGTCCTCTCCTCCACGATCTCGATGCTCTGCAGGGTCAGGGTCCAGGGCGGGGGGGGCGGGGGGGCAAGCGGCTGGCGCGTGGCTGGGAGGCCCTCGGCCGCACGCTCGTGGGCACCAGGCTGGCGACACCGCGCTTTGCCTGGTCCTCTCCAGACCTGCAGGTCGAGGAGTGGGAGGGCTTGCAGATGCTGGGTCGGGCCGGGGTGCAGAGCGGGTGCGGAGACTCGTCTTCACGCTGAGCCTGCCCAGCATGCAGACCCATTGCAGCAAGTCCAGGTCCTCCCATCCAACCACTCATCACCACAGCACGTCACGCTCCCCACCTGCCACCAGGGCCCACGCTCCGAGCCAGGCCCCAGCCTTCTCCCCAGCCCACATGCCAGCACGCAGAAGGGCAGAGCCACCGTCGTCACCCAGCGGGGCAGGTTCCCTGTGCACGTGAGGTGGAGGGGGGGAGGGGGGCTCTTGACTACATGTCATGACACCCGAGTACCAGGCAGCAAGCAGTCATGCAAACAAATCCACCCTCGCTCACCGAGCGGGGCCTGCGCATAAAGACTGGCGGCCATGAGGCTGGCAGCCGCCGCCAGCGCGGCGGCTGCGGGCCTGGAGAGCTCGGCACGCCAGTCGCGCCCTGTTGGGCTGCTTGGCGGCAGGGCTGCATCAGTCGGCGCGACCATGCTGCCCGGCACGCGCGACGCCTTCCGCCCCGGGCCCGTCGGCGGCGCCACCTGGTCGGCCCAGGTGATGCTGCGCTGAATGGGGCCGGGCTGGGGCGTGCGCGGCGGCTGCGGTGCGACCACGGGCTGGCCGACGAACACCGCCCTGATGCACGCGTCCTCCTCCTCACATTCCACCTCCTCAGCGAGCGCCTCCAGGGGCCCCTGAACCCCCACCGTGCACTCCAGGCGCGCAGCGAGGTGGCTCCCCCCCTCCGTCCCCCGCTGCAGCTCCTTGGGCAGGCGCTGGCTGACCACCAGGGCCGCGTGCTTGGTCCCCGGCTCCCCCGCCCCCTCCTGGTCCCAGGCCTGGGCCAGGCGGTGGGGGCTCAGGTCCAGGGTCACGACGCCTAGCCCCGTGCTGACCCAGACCCGGAGCAGCGGGCCTGCTGCCGGCGCGAAGCCGCGCGCGCCGCGCGCCGTGCGCGCGGCACGCGCCACGCTTTCCGGCACCGCCAGCGCTGCGCCCCAGGCTGGCGCGGTGGCCACGACGCGCTGCGTGCCGCCGCCGGGGTCAACCGCCGCCACCAGGGCCACTGTGGCGCGCTCGCTGGGCAGCGGCAGGCCCCGGTCCAGCCAGGCCAGCGCACAGGCCAGCCGCGCAGCGGCCTCCCGCGCGGCCTGCGCCAGCGTGCGCGCCTCGTCCTCGTCGGCACACACCAGGCGCAGTGTGTGTGCGCTGGGCGGGGGCGTGGCGGGGGCGGCGGGCTCCCGGGCCTGCCGGGAGGTGGGGCCGGGAGGCGGGCGCACCAGCGGGCGCAGCAGGCCGCGGAAGGCGGCGGCGGCGGGGGAGGGGGCGCGCTGCGACCACACCGGCTCGAAGCTGAGGGTGAGCAGGCCGCCGGGCTGCACCTCCGCCTGCAGCAGGCTGGACAGTGCGATGCTCACGCACAGCATCTGGTCGGAGGGCGGGGAGGCGGGGGGGCACGGACGCTGCGGGGAGGATGTCACGGACGTCGCTCTGAGCTCACCCTGGTGAAGTGTGGGTTTGGGAGTGAGATCGTGGCAGGGAGTGGACTGGAGAATACATGACTCACTGGGGACAAAGGAGCACATCCATCAGACGCCACCACCTAGAGACGCTTGCACACCTTGCCGGCGGAGGGGAGGAGCGTCGACCTCAGGGTCTCCAGCTCCTGCCCGAGATCGGAATTATCATCCGGAGTTGGTGGCGTCACCGCGCCCTCCTCCACCTCCCGCGTGCTGTAGAGCTGTATCACGTTGAAGGGGAAGGGCTTGAATATGGGTCAGGAGCACTCTCATGGTGGTACAAGTGCTGAGCCCACTCAAGAGGCCGGGCGTCCCACTACCTTCCCAGGCCTTCCTCACCCGGAAGCTGCCAGCAGTCAGGATGAGGAGGTACTGTTGTTTATACAGAGCCTTGTATGCCTGGGAGGATGCGTCATGGTGGCTGCCTTTGCTGCGGGGAGAGAAAGAGTGGGGAGGGATTGTTTGTCGGTTGCCCAGGCCGTTTGGATCGGCTCCAGCACTGTCCCTGGGGCCAAGCAGGTGCGCATCTCCCGGTACGGCACATGCACCACCCTGTGCCTCTAAACTGATGCACCAGGAACGTACTGGTAGGCCTTCAATGTGACGAGCGCGGACTTGAGGGGCGCCAGGCCCTCGAATGAAGCTCCGCGCCGCTCGATCTCCATGCTGGCTTCACGGCCCATGCGCCAGTGGATACGTCGAAGAGATGGTGGGGTCACGTGGCGTCGAACGAAGAGCTGAGCCTCTTCTGGAGTCATGAATCCCTGGAGCAGACGAGATTGAGCTCGCGGAACGCGCGATCGGGCGAGCATCGGATGGTCGCCCCCGACCATGTGCCCACCGGACAGCGCTGCTCTCCGTGTGACCGCCAGCTGCCGGTAGGTTCGGGACGGTCCAGACCCTCGAGAACCTACGCATCAGCCCGAACGCTACCGCGGGGGTTACATCCTCTGTATGACAGCTTAATGTACTGTGGCATGTGAAGTCTGACTTCAACGGAGCCTTGCTAGCGGGCATGTCGGGACCACTGCTGCCCGAACCATCTGACAGGCAGTACGATGAAAGACCGGAGAGTACTTCTCAGATATACTGACGGGACTCCGAGTGATTCGCCCAGCCAAATGGAATCTTGCGATGCTGGATCGCCTTGTAGTGGAGGCAGAGTGGCTCCCACAGGCTGGTTCATGTCTGGGCTCTGGCCTTTTTATAAGTGCCAATCGTAACGCAAAACCACGCCGCGGTAAAAGTGGAATTTCTTGGGGCTCAATTTATGCAGATCTGGGGCCCCAAGACCAAGTCAATGGCGTCTGGACATGCCCCTGGATTTTTGCGGACAGATTGATCGCTCAGGAAGAGGCCCCCCCTCGGGGTGGAGGTTTCGAGCTCGTCATGTCGAGCTTCATGCCAGCCCCACAGTCGACCACCGAAGCAGTCCGCTTCTCAGATCTCTCGCGGAATAATTCTGAAACATAAGTCAAGCAGCAGGATAATCGTGCGTGCACGTTACCCGGATCCATGTGCGCCTGCAGGCTTCCTGCTTAACCGGTGGTGGACCTCGTGCTCGTCCCTCCGACACGGGTGCAAGGCTGGGCAGACCCTCTCAGCCAGGCTATTTGGAGATGCGATGTGAGCTCCTAAGCTCTGTAATCTAAGCTAAGCAATACTTGAAAGCTCCTCCCAGGCCCATGCCGGGCAAGCGGGAGCGCAGGTCGGCATTGAACCCGGCATATGAGGCTCCACATGCCGGGTAAGCCAGGCGACAGCCGATGCTCACCTATGCTGATAGCGGTCCTGCACATCTGACAGTCCGTGGTCGTCCACACACCACAGCCCCGACATGGAGCTCTTCACAGACAGGCGCCGTCCGCACAGATTGGAGCCACACGAGGTGCTCTAGGGCTGGACCCCTCATGGCCATGTGGAGGGTTGGAATCCTGCTGTGCGTGGGCATGTCTGGCCCGTCATCTCCACCTGCCAACCCCCAAGCACACTTGCAGCCTCTCATCTTCATGGCCCTGGACATTCTGGAGGACGATCATGGGCAGTTCACCATCTGGGGGGCGAGCGCCTCGGGTGCCAGCGTGCTCTTGCAGGTCCAGGGCTTCCGCCCCTACCTCTACGTCGTGGCGCCGGCGGCCATGCCAGGCTCCGCCCCGGCCCTGGACTGGTTTGAGGACCGAGGGCTCAGGGAGTCGTTTCGCGCCGTGGTCAACAGGGCTATTCCCCCAGACCTCAGGGTGGCTGCCGTGCTGGCATGCGACAGGCGGCCCCTTCAGTACTGTCGCCCCGCAGACCTCGGGCCGGCCGCCTCGCCCATGCTGCGACTCGAATTCGATCCCGGCACCAGCCTGCGCCGAGCAGCCCCCGTCCTCGCGCGCTGCCTGGCCTCCCCCGGCCTGCTGGAGGCGGGGTGGAACTTTGGGGCGGGGACGATGTTCGAGAGTGAGATCGGCCTGCTGCAGCGCTTCCTCGCAGACATGCCCGTCTCCGGTGAGGGAGGGGAGCTTGTAGGTGGGCCCGGGTGCCGAGCGAGGTCTAGTTGGTGCCTTGGGGGCCGGAGCCCAGGCCAGCTGTAGTTTAGTGGGCAGAGAGGCCTGGTCTGGACGTGCCTGAGGATGCTGCAGTGGCCGCCTCGTTTTGTACACTCCACAGACCTCTGAGGAGCAGGCAATCAAGTCGGCTCATGGCTTGCCCCCTGCCACCTGACTCCCCACTCGCCTCCTTGATTCCTGTGCAGGCGGGGCCTGGCTGTACGTCCCGCCGGCCGCGAGCCCCAAGGCTGGCGCACCGGCGCCCGGTTACACTCTGGCCCAGGAGGATCGGCGGGCGGCCGGCTTCGACATCGATGCGACGGCGCCCTGGCAGGCCCTGACCTGCCTCACCCCCGACGCCACACAGCTCGCGGACGCAGGCTGGTCGCCCTTTCCCCCTGGCAGCGCCGCCGCAGGGTGTGCCGCCGCCCGCGCCGCCGCGGCGGCAGCGGTGCGGGGCGACCTGCCGCCGCTGCGGGTGTGCACGCTGAGCACGCTCTGCGCCCCCGCTGATGGGGCAGACCGCGTGGCCCTACCAGAGAAGGGCGACCCCCTGGTGGCCATCTGCTGCCTGCTAACGCCGCTGGACGGCGGCGCGGTGCAGGCAAAGGTGCACGAGTCTGAGACCGAGGGGGCGGAGGCTGGCGTGGCCAAGACAGAAGGCGTTGAACCTCCACCTTCACCATCCCAGTCCGACGATGGCGCGAAGGCCGCGCAGAACGGCGAAGAAAGCGAAGCTGGCACGGGTCCCGCCGCGCTGCTGACGGAGGCCGAGCTGGCTGCCGGGCCCCGGCGCGTGGGCCTGCCACCCGCCCCCCCGGGGGCGGCGCCGCCCGGGTCACTGGTATTCACCCACTCCGAGGCCGCCACGGCCGCGACGATGCCAGACCCCGCCTCCGGCGCGCGCACGCTGGTGTTCCGCAGCGAGGCGGCGATGCTGCGCGCCTTCCTGGCCTGGCTGCGGGCCGCCGACCCCGACCTGCTGGCGGTGTTCGACGCCGGGCGCACGCTGGGCGCGCTGGGCGCGCGCTGCGCCGCGCTGCGCGTGGACGGAGGCGCCGCGGCGCTGGGGCGCGCCCCGCCGGGGTCGAGCCGCTCGCGCCCGCTGCGCCTCAAGCGCATCACCACCTACAGCGCGGCCTGGGTGCGGTCACAGTCGCGCATGAGCAGCACCAGCAACCAGGAGACGCTGCGCGCAGAGGTGGACGGGCGGGTGGTCGTGGACGTGCAGCGCCAGGTGCTGACCTCGCAGAACCTGTCCACCTTCACGCTGACCGACTGCGTGCAGAGCCTGCTGGGCGGCACGCTGGAGACCCTGGCGCCGCGGGAGGTCGCCGCGCTGGCGGCCGGCGACGGCGCGGGGCTGCTGCGCCTGGCGCGGTACATGGCGACGCGCGCGCGTGCGGTGCGCGCGCTCCTCCTCCACCTGGCCACGGTGCCGGACATGGTGGAGATGGCGCGCGTGACCGGCCTGACCCTGGGCCAGGTGGCGTACCAGGCGCAGATGGTGCGCACGCACAGCCTGCTTCTGCGCACCGCCGGGCGGCGCGGGTACGTGCTGCCGGCGCGGCTGGAGGCGGGCCAGCTCCAGGAGCACACCTTCATCCTGCACCCCGTGGAGAACAGTGAGGGGGTGTCCGTGTGATGTCGGATTTGAGAGGAGGGGGGTCTCGCAGGGATGCGGCACGCCTGCGTGCTTGAACCTGAGGGGCGCCAGGGCTGTGAGGCGCCCAGGGCGGCAAGGAGTGGGCCGGGGCCAGGCTGATGGCACAGCCTCGCCGGCTTACGCCGTGCCCCGGCGGCTTCCATCGCCCCCCCCCCACTTTTTTCACGGAAGCACGTACCTCCTCCACCCTGCCATCAGGAACGGCGGGGCTGTACACGAACCCGGTGGCCATCCTCGACTTTGCCAGCCTGTACCCCTCCATCTACCGCGCGCACAACCTGTGCTACACCACGCTGGTGCACCCGGAGGACAGGGTGAGGGTGGCGGGGAGGGGGGGTTGCGGAAGCACCTTGTGGGGAGGGTGAGGAGTGCATGACCCGTGTCGGGCATGGAGTGCACCACGCAGCCTGCGCCTCCAGGACCAGCAGGGTTGGGGCCAGCTGCACCTGCATCGGGGACTGGAGGGAGGCCGCTGTCTCGCCTCTCACCGACCGCGCCACTGCACAGGGTCTCTTCGCGGAGGACCAGACCACGGTCACGCCCACGGGCGACGTGTTTGTGAAGCCCGCCGTGCGCAAGGGCCTGCTGCCAGCCATCCTGGCGGCCCTCACCGTCGCCCGGGCCGCCACGCGCGACCAGCTCAAGGCCGCGACCAGGTGGGGGGCGGGAGGGGCGCGCTGGGGAGGCCTGGTCACGACGGCACGCCACTGCCCGCAGCGCGAGCTGGGGTGCGGGCAGCGCAGCGCGGCTGCCGGGCATCTCTGCCGTGGGTGGTGCGTGCCGAGCCCTTCGCCACCCTCCTTCTATCCCATGGCGCAGCGAGGCGCAGCGGGCGGTGCTGGACGGCCGGCAGAAGGCCCTCAAGGTCACGGCAAACGCGCTGTACGGCTTCACGGGTGAGCGAGACGGCGCCTGCAGCGCGCGGGGCGGCGCCTGCAGCGCGGTGGATGGCTTGCCACCTTCATTCCTGTTGCAGACGGCTGGGCCTTCGCCTCAGCCCATGTTACTGCTCACCCACTGCTCTGCCACCCAGGCTGCAGACCCAGCTCAACCATGCCATCCCTCCCACTCGCATAGATACACACACTCGCACACACTCCTGCAGGCGCACAGACCTCGCCGCTGCAGTGCATCCCGCTGGCAGACTCCTGCCTGGCTTACGGCGCACAGGCCTGCCGCCGCGCGCTGGATGCCCTGGAAAGCGCGAGCAGGTCTGGGGAGCTGGGCCCCATCGGACGCGGCGCACGCGTCATCTACGGCCACACCGACAGCCTGTGCGAGGGAGGGTGGGGCCCGTCCCGCTGGCTTTGCTTTGGTGTGGGTGCAGGCAGAAGGCTGCGGCTGCTTTGATCGGTCTGAGCAGGCCTGCTGGGCGTGAGGCCTGGGTTGGGTGAGGTCCCAGTCCCCGCTACGCTGCACCCCAAGCTCTCAACCTGTGCGTCCATTTCCTGCCGCAGGTTTGCTGTCTTCCCGGCCGCCTCGACCCCTGCAGAGGCCATAGAGGTGAGGACCAGGGATCGCTTTGCCCACCTGATCTCGGCGACCCTGCCGCTGGTGTACAGATGGGTGGCATTCCTTCAGGCTTTTTTTCCTTCAGCCTCGCCATCCTGCCCCCTTGACAGGTCGGAAAGCGCACTGCCGCAATCGTGTCGGCTGCCTTCCCCGATCCCATGGAGCTCAAGTTTGAGCGCGTCTGCAACCCGCTCCTGCTCATCCATGTCAACAGGTCGGGCCACACTTCTCCGGGCAGGCACTTCAGGAGGCTCTCTTGCTTCCTTGGTCTCCCAAGGCCCCCCGTGCAGCTGATCTGCACTGCCCCCTGAGCCTGCTCCACTTGCCTCCACACCATGTTAGGTACGCTGGCAAGACGTGGGAGCGACCCGACAGCCAACCGGCGCTCATGGTCAAGGCGAGTCTCAGGGAGCAGTGGTGTGACGGTTGGTTGCAATCCAGCAGGCCTGCTGCATGGCCGGGCCAGACAAGGGACCTTTGGACCTGGCCATGCAGCAGAGCCAATGCCCCCTCCTCTTTCTCTCCCCCAGGGCCTCGTCAGCATGTGGCGCCAGGCGGCTCCCATCGTCCGCACGACCCTGCATGGCGTCCTGGAGCGGATCATCATGCGTGGCGACGTGGAGTGAGCGCGAGCAGGTGTCAACACTGGAGTGGTGGCAGGGCGCTGGCTCTTGGTACTCAATCTGTGCCCCACCCCTCCGTGCCAGGTCGGCGATCGCGTTTGTGGAGGAGGAGGTCCGCCGCCTGCTCTCTGGACGGGTCTCCCTGCACGAACTCATCATGACGCAGGGCCTGTGGCGGGTGAGGTGGAGGTGGGATCTGGACCCTCTAGGATCGCTGCCCGTGGGCCTGCACGGGATGTCTGGTCTGCACCCAGCCAGGGTGTTATTTCTGGCTTGGGTCTGCCTGCCAGGGGTCATGCCGGCTGCCATCAGAATTTGGCAGGACACGCTGGGGAAAACGGCCCTGGTCGGGAGTCAAGGCCCCCTTGGCCCATCACCAAACCACCCCCCCCCTCTCAACCAGATCACCGGGGAGCAAGTGAGCAGCGCCGCAGCGGGGGACCCCGCGGCCGCCGCCGAGGTGCGTGGACCCCATGCCTCGCTGGCGGTGAGGCTGGTCCAGCGTGATCCCGGGCGCGCCTTTGTGCTGGGCGAGCGCCTGCCCTACGTGCTGCTGGCGGGGGCCCCGAAGCAGGACGACGCGGCGGAGGATCCGGTGATGGCCGTGCGGTCTGGCACGCGCGCAGACTACCTGCTCTACTGGAACAACAAGCTGGTGCGTCCGCTGAGCGAGATGCTGGGGCATTGCATGCCGCCGGCGCGAGTCCAGGTGTGTTTGTGGGGTTGGGGTGAAGGGTTTGGGGTGAGGGGTTTGACGCGATGGGTGGGGCAGCGGGGGGCAGCAAGGCCTGGGAGTGCCAGGATCCACATGGCAGCGGAGTTGCATGGATTGCTGGGGTGCGGGGCTTACTGCACGTGTGTGCATGTGTGGTGAAGCCCAAGGGGGGGTCCACCGAGGCTCCGACCCACCCACCACCTCTCTAACCCTCGCCTTTTGCAGGCGCTGATGCAGGGCGCTCACACCCGGGTGAGGGTGGAGGAGGTGGGCTCCAGAGTAGCCAAGCCGGGTGGCGCATCGCTGTCCCCCCCAACCCCGTCGCCCCGGGCCAAGGGCCGGAGGCAGGGTGCGGCAGCGGGTGCAAGGGGTGAGTATGAGGGAGTGGGGGGTAGCGTCATGCGGACACTCCTTCCTGCGCCCTGGAGTCTGTCTGATTAACGCTCACCCCTTCCTCGTTCTCAGGTGGTCGCCAGGTGGGCATGACCGCCTTCTACGCCGCGACAGCCAAGTGCATAGGCTGCAAGCGGACGCTGCCCCAGACTTCTGGGACGGCGCCTGCACTGTGCGAGATCTGTTCGAGGCAAGCGGGGGCAACTCATCCGCATGTCCATGCATGCAGGGGCCTGCAGCGATGCAGAGTAGGATTTGCAGCATCTGCCCTGCACTGGCCTGCAATGAAAAATTCAGGCTCTCCCTTCCCCAAAACACATTCTTGGATCATTGCTTGCCTTCCACCGCAGCAAGTACGCCTCACAGCTGCCCCCCCCCTTGGCCGCCACAGGGATCCAGGTATCGCTGCAAGAGTGGTCCTGGAGACCACTGCCAGGCAAGCGGAGGCAGAGGCCCTCCGGGCCCGGGCAGGCAGCATATGTCGGGCCTGCGACTCTGCCACGCTGACGCAGCCCTTTCTCTGCGAGAACGGTGCCTGCGCCATATACTTCCAGAGGCGTGAGGCATGCATCGATCTGGAGGCACTGGGGGAGACCTGGGTCAGACTGCGGGGGGGTGCTGCAGGTTAGGACCTATCGTCACTGTGCAAGGAGATATGGATCATGCCGCACTCCAACACCCTCCCCCTGGGCTGCCTTGGCTCTGCGTTGGTGCATCTAATTTCCGTGTGACAGTGCTTTGGCTTTGTGAGCAACTGCTTGTGGCCACCTCTGCATTGCTATATTTTAGTTCAGTAAAACCCTTCATTATCTGTCACTGGTACGATCGTGACGTTCTATAGATCAGATTCATGGGCAAGCGCATAAGCAGGTTGCCGATTTCGAGCCTGTCACCGTTATATCTTGGCAGGGTACCCCCCCCAGTTGAGGCACGTTCGGCATAACGTTCAGATGAATTGACCGATCGTAAACCGGAGCGCATCTCGACTCCTTGCGAATACTTTCCTATCCTTCAGTGTCCACTGAATCTCATTGCTTTCATAAAGATAAATGCATCGTGACTAAACCTCGCGCATCCAGTATTACAGGGTCGCGTATCCGATCTCCCGTCCTCATGAATCCTCATAACTTTCCGGGTCCACACTCGACATTCTCAATCATCACGATCTGGCACTGAAAGATCGTTAAACCGATATTCTACATAGTTTCAAGTAGGATATTGCTTGCTATTCGCAAGATTTTGCCGTATCGATACGAGGTTTAGGTATTGCTGGCCCGCGCACGCCTTGGATCGGTATTGCATGGTGCATCAGAAGTCAACTCTGACCCTGAGGCAAGGAGACCCTGTGGTAAAGGTACGACGTGGAGCACCTACCTACTTTATAATTATCTCCACCGTCCTCCTTCTTCAGTCGAAAGCGCATGGATCGGCAGCGGTAAGTCAGAGTTATTGGATATGTCGTTGATCGCATATGTTCCGGACTACTTGCAGAGCACTCACAGCCTGCTCCCTTCTATCTACCATTCCAATGATAGTCGGATGGCCATCAGCTTGCAGACAGGTGCGCAAGCAATCTGTCGGTGGACCTTTACTCACCGAGATCAAGCACCTCCGGCTGGCCGTCGCCCACGTGCATGTTTCCCCCTCCCACCAAGATCGAGTCTCTGCCAAACAGCCAACTTCCCCATCACGCTGCAGCTCCGGGCAGGAGTCAGCTTTGACTTTCACGCTCAGTCTTGATCCGACAAGACATGATGCCAAGGACATTGCGGAGGCCATTCGAGATGGAGTTCCAGGTACCCGGATGAAGCTTTCAGAGATGAGGAGACGTCGGCGCCTTCGAGCATTCCGCTATCACGACCCGCGTATGAAATTTGACGGGATGTACGACCACAAGCGCCATATCACTTCCACACCATTATGCTTCGCAGGTCTTCGGATCCACATCAAGGCGACACCCGGCTCCGGTTCGCGCGTCGAGATCGCAGCTACCGGCGCCAGCGGTCGTGTGAACGATCTCTGGACCATCCTCCAAATCAGCACCGTCGACATCCTTCCCACCGGCGCCCACGCCGACCTCCTGGCCTCCACATTCCCCATCCCCGCGTCGGCCTGGGGGTGTGCCACCTCCTTCCTGACCCTGCACGCGCCCAGTGGCAATGGCACGGGAGTGGAAGGGTGGGAGGACTCCAACCCCGACCCTGCTGCCTGGGCAGAGGAGGTCATCCGGAGGACCGGCTGCCCTGCACCCCCTCACCTGGTCTCTACCCGACTGCTGGCAGAGGAGGAGGACGGTGCGGTGCATGCAGTGCTTGCAGGCTGGGGAGGGACCACTCCCTCTTTGCAGCGCTGGACGGCCTGCCTGGCGGCCAGTCTGGGCGCAGCATCCTCTGTCGATGGCACAAAGGGTGTTCGCGCCGAGCACCCTTTCCAGATCCAGCATGTGGCGTGGCCGGGGTGCCAGTCCGGCATGCCAGGCTGGCAGTCGCATGCCCCGCTTGTCCTTGCTGAGCCGCCGCTTGGCGCACAGGGCCCCAGTCCCACCGCCGGGAAGCAGCCCGGCCCATCACGCAAAGTCCAGCCGGCCCCGGGGCCAGCGCTCAATTCGGAGCGCAGCCGGAAGGTGGCCCAGCCTCCGATTCCGCCTGCAATCCGCCGGCCAGGACAGCCCACGAGCTCAACGCCGCCGCTGGCTCCTGCGCCCGCGCAACCAGCCCGCACGGCCCCTGCCCAGTCACCGGCGGGGGCTGCCGGCCCCGCCTTCTGGCGTTCCCCTGCTCCTTCGCCGCCGGGTCGCGGCCGACCTCCAGCCAGCCCGTTGCGTGCGCCCTCGCCAGCGCAGGCGACGTCCCCGCGCCCCCTCAAGCCAGGGTCCCCAGGCAGGCCCTCGCCAGGATCTGGCCCAACCCCTTCTGGTGAGGCGCCTGGCAGTGATGATACCGTTTCCAGACGTCCAAGGTCCTGGCGGCGCCCATGCACGCCCGAACATCTCCCAGCAAGCCTTTCCTCTCAATCCCTGCAGGCGCTCTTCCTCGTCCACCCCCCTCCAGTCCGGGGCCTCGGCCAGGGAGCCCCCACGCATCGCCGCAGCCCAGCCCGGCTGGCTCCCCCGCCCCGGCCCCAGAGCCAGTCTCCGTGCGGGAATCGCCTGCTCAGAGTCCTCGGGCCCCGAACCCCGGCTCAGGGCCCGCCGCAGCAGGAGGCCCAACCGGGGTCAGAGGTCCGGCGCCCTGTCTGGCCGACGCCGCAGGGTGCGGGTCGGGGCCCTCCCTTGCACCGGCAGGCGCCCAACCGCCCTCCCCGCAGCCGGCCGACCCCACCGACCCCGGTGGCCCAGCTGCTCCTCCACCCCGCCCTCTACACTCACCAAGGAACCCTTTGCCCCGGCATCCCACACCCCAGCCCAGCCCCATGCCCATACGAGGCTCGCCAGTGCAGACCCCGTCGGCGCCCAGTCCCAAGGCGCATCCCGTGCCAGCACACCGGCCGCCGGGGCGTGGACCCCTCCCCGCCAACCTTGCTCCGCCCCTCTCGACTCCCGGCCCCGCACCGGGGTCTTCAGGCCAGCTTGAAGGCGCCGACGGACCATCAGCTGCAGGCCCAGTACCGACACCTTCCCTGGCACCCCGCGTATCACCGCTGCACCCACGTGGCCCACTGGCAAGCCCGGGACTTGCGCTTGGACCCACACCAGCATCTCCCCATCAGGGTGCAAGTGCACCATTGCCATCGATCTTGCTGCCGTCACCGGTATCCGGTCCACACCTTGATCCTGAAGCGTCAGCCATGCCACCAGTGCCGCTTCCCACCCTTTCCTCGCCGTCACCGAAGTTGGCAACGTCACCAGCGTCCCCACTGTTCCCCAGCCTGGCCCCCAGCCCTCCTTTACCATCACTCGCCGACCTCCTGGCCTCCACATTCCCCATCCCCGCGTCGGCCTGGGGGTGTGCCACCTCCTTCCTGACCCTGCACGCGCCCAGTGGCAATGGCACGGGAGTGGAAGGGTGGGAGGACTCCAACCCCGACCCTGCTGCCTGGGCAGAGGAGGTCATCCGGAGGACCGGCTGCCCTGCACCCCCTCACCTGGTCTCTACCCGACTGCTGGCAGAGGAGGAGGACGGTGCGGTGCATGCAGTGCTTGCAGGCTGGGGAGGGACCACTCCCTCTTTGCAGCGCTGGACGGCCTGCCTGGCGGCCAGTCTGGGCGCAGCATCCTCTGTCGATGGCACAAAGGGTGTTCGCGCCGAGCACCCTTTCCAGATCCAGCATGTGGCGTGGCCGGGGTGCCAGTCCGGCATGCCAGGCTGGCAGTCGCATGCCCCGCTTGTCCTTGCTGAGCCGCCGCTTGGCGCACAGGGCCCCAGTCCCACCGCCGGGAAGCAGCCCGGCCCATCACGCAAAGTCCAGCCGGCCCCGGGGCCAGCGCTCAATTCGGAGCGCAGCCGGAAGGTGGCCCAGCCTCCGATTCCGCCTGCAATCCGCCGGCCAGGACAGCCCACGAGCTCAACGCCGCCGCTGGCTCCTGCGCCCGCGCAACCAGCCCGCACGGCCCCTGCCCAGTCACCGGCGGGGGCTGCCGGCCCCGCCTTCTGGCGTTCCCCTGCTCCTTCGCCGCCGGGTCGCGGCCGACCTCCAGCCAGCCCGTTGCGTGCGCCCTCGCCAGCGCAGGCGACGTCCCCGCGCCCCCTCAAGCCAGGGTCCCCAGGCAGGCCCTCGCCAGGATCTGGCCCAACCCCTTCTGGTGAGGCGCCTGGCAGTGATGATACCGTTTCCAGACGTCCAAGGTCCTGGCGGCGCCCATGCACGCCCGAACATCTCCCAGCAAGCCTTTCCTCTCAATCCCTGCAGGCGCTCTTCCTCGTCCACCCCCCTCCAGTCCGGGGCCTCGGCCAGGGAGCCCCCACGCATCGCCGCAGCCCAGCCCGGCTGGCTCCCCCGCCCCGGCCCCAGAGCCAGTCTCCGTGCGGGAATCGCCTGCTCAGAGTCCTCGGGCCCCGAACCCCGGCTCAGGGCCCGCCGCAGCAGGAGGCCCAACCGGGGTCAGAGGTCCGGCGCCCTGTCTGGCCGACGCCGCAGGGTGCGGGTCGGGGCCCTCCCTTGCACCGGCAGGCGCCCAACCGCCCTCCCCGCAGCCGGCCGACCCCACCGACCCCGGTGGCCCAGCTGCTCCTCCACCCCGCCCTCTACACTCACCAAGGAACCCTTTGCCCCGGCATCCCACACCCCAGCCCAGCCCCATGCCCATACGAGGCTCGCCAGTGCAGACCCCGTCGGCGCCCAGTCCCAAGGCGCATCCCGTGCCAGCACACCGGCCGCCGGGGCGTGGACCCCTCCCCGCCAACCTTGCTCCGCCCCTCTCGACTCCCGGCCCCGCACCGGGGTCTTCAGGCCAGCTTGAAGGCGCCGACGGACCATCAGCTGCAGGCCCAGTACCGACACCTTCCCTGGCACCCCGCGTATCACCGCTGCACCCACGTGGCCCACTGGCAAGCCCGGGACTTGCGCTTGGACCCACACCAGCATCTCCCCATCAGGGTGCAAGTGCACCATTGCCATCGATCTTGCTGCCGTCACCGGTATCCGGTCCACACCTTGATCCTGAAGCGTCAGCCATGCCACCAGTGCCGCTTCCCACCCTTTCCTCGCCGTCACCGAAGTTGGCAACGTCACCAGCGTCCCCACTGTTCCCCAGCCTGGCCCCCAGCCCTCCTTTACCATCACTGCCACCAACCCCCCCGCCATCACCGCCCCCCAGCCCGCCAGCATCACCGCCACCAAACCCTCCGCCATCACCGCCACCAACCCCTCCGCCATCACCGCCACCAACCCCTCCGCCATCACCGCCACCAAACCCTCCGCCATCACCGCCACCAAACCCTCCGCCACACCGCCTCCAACGCCCGCCGCCCTCACCGCCGCCAAACCCTCCGCCATCACCGCCTCCAAGCCCGCCGCCCAGCCTCCCCACCCAGCCCGCCGCCCAGCCCTCCGCCTCCGAGCCCACCACCCAGCCCTCCGCCTCCGAGCTCACCGCCCAGCCCCCCGCCTCCCAGCCCGCCGCCCAGCCCCCGCCTCCAAGCCCGCCGCCCAGTCCTCCGCCTCCAAGCCCGCCGCCCAGCCGTCCACCTCCAAGCCTGCCGCCCATTTCATCACCCAGCCCACCGCCGGCTTCTCCTCCCCAGCTCGATCCTCGTCCACCTCCCAGCCAGTCTCTGCCAACTCAAACTTCGTTCCCCCCATCATTCAACCCATCTTTTAGTCCTTTTCGTGAACATCCTCCAGCCAGCGCTCCTGTCTCCTCCATTCCAGCTCCCATTCCTCAGGAGATGAGTATTCTGATCCCATCAGCTTCAGTCGTTTCTCCTAGTGAGTCTCCATCCAGTTTTCTGTCCAATCCAATTCCCTCCCTGGCGTCACCTGGTGGTGAACCAATATCAAACGCCCCCTTGGATATGTCGCTGCTCGACTCGCCACTTGCCGCACAACTTTCCAGCCAACCCCCTCCAGGTCGGCCAAGCTCACTCTCACCACCACCAGCACCTAATTTTCAGAACCTCTCACCCCCAACCGAAACATCCCCGCCACTGACCGTGCTGCCACCACTGCCGCTACCTCAGCAATCACCACCTCTCCAATCGCCACCGCCGCCACCGCCGCCACCGTCGCCACCCTCGCCATCACCACCGCTCCAATCGCCACCGCCGCCACCACCGCCACCCTCGCCATCACCACCTCGGCAATCGCCACCACCACCACCTCAAGAGTCACCACCGCCATCTGCGCCGCCCCCAACCCCCCCGCCAGTGCCTGCCAGTGATGCTGCCACCAGCGGCACGGACACATCTGGCGGAACGAGCTTCCCCTTGAGAATCATAAGCTCAGACGTCTGTGAAGGGGCCATGACTGTCAGCGCCGAAGGCCGATGGACCTACAGCAATGCCGCAGGCGGTGTATCGGATGTCAGATTCAGCACCCCCAGGCGTTACTCCCAGGGAGAAAGGCAGGAGTTTCTTTGCGGAGACTTCTACAATAAACCTTGCACTCGTGGGTCTTGGACGCTGTCCCCCCCATACAGAGTGGCTGGCTGTGCCACGGTCCACATCAATTTCTCATCGGGTTCCTGCAATTCCAAGCACAGGGAGTTCTGCTTCTGATTGAACACCCTTGATCTCCATGGACATGTATGCATGTTTGTGGCTCTATGCTCTTTCGATCCCTCTACAAGCTCGACCAGTGCTTGGTGATGCATTGGTCAGACCCTCGACGTAAAATTGTGGTTGTTCACACCTTCACCCCGTAGCTATCCGTGCCCAAGCCGAGTGGATGTAAGAATGCCCTCGAAGGCCGAGCTGGTGGTGTGTTTTGTGCCGGGCGTTCCCTCTACAAACCGATATTGCTACACATTGTCATCATCCTGTAAATTGATACAATATTCAATGTCGCAATCTAATACACTCACACACAGGAAACAAATGGGCTGAGAGAGGTTTACCAGATTCTGTCCTATTACATCATGAAGGATAAAATGACCAGCAAGTAGGCAATGCCGCCGGAGCAGGATGTGCACAACTGAATGATCCTAGCTATCATGTGGAGAACCTATGCGCTCATGGGCTTGTATGAAGCCAAACCCCGGGTGACCGCTCCAACAGCCCAAAAGACGGCTCTAAAAGTGTTTAGAACTTGGATGTAAACGAGATCTGGCCCACTGGAGCTCATCGATACTACGAGGTAATAACTTCCATGCGGATTCTCGAACAACTTTTTTCTTTCCTTATACTGTGGAGGCTATGGATCACAGGGAGGTAGCCACTCATTATGAGTCGCAGTCGACGCGTTCAGACTGGCAGCATCCGATTAGGCGGAATGTGGTTCATACTAGAGGGGCGGGCTTGGTGTTTCCAGCCAACCCATACATCTAGTACAAAGGTTGGCATGGATTTTACGCGTGGCAATGGACATGGACACGCGGTTGACATCTCGACTGCTGACCCCTTCGGCAAATTGTCACGCAGCCTCGATCTAGACGATCATTTGCTTACTTCCTCTCTGTTGATCGAAATCGGGACTGGGAGGCATCATGAGGTCCTCGAGCCTGCGATGGATCCTGAGCCTGGCCCTCCTGTCGATCACCCTGCTAGACGCGCATGGGCGGTCCTTACTGCAGGGCGGGCCTGTGTGCGACTCGAAAGCTGTTTGGAACATATCCAGCTGCGCCGCAGCCAGTGCGTGGGATCCGAAAGATCGGACTAGACGTCTGCATGACATTTCCGAGATGCCGGGATCCGCGCACGCAGGGGTTGTCATGAAGTGGCACAGGGGGGTGTAAGACCCACGTGCTCAGGGGTCGTTCACCGGTTCTGTGCAGAATTCAGTCTTGCCTCACCCCCACGATCCGCTTCCTGCCCTTGCCGTGAGCCTCACTCTCGCCCCCTCACCCTGCAGCTGGTGAGTACGGGACCCGCCTCCCTCAAGGCCAACTCCAGCCTGTGGGAACCAGCCTGACGACAGGCGTGGCGAATGCCGGCATCGTAGGCCCCACCTTCTCCACCTTGCCTAAGGCAAGGTCCATTTTGGCATTGGGATTGTTTTCCTTCACAGACCTCCCTCCCCCTCCGTCCCCTCTCTGTGTATGATGCTGATCTGATGGTGCAGGCGGCCTTCTGGGGAGGCGGAGACTGGCCGTCGCCTCTTCCCTGCCCTCTCGCTGGGCGACTGCACGTGCACCTGACACAGAATCCAGCCTCAATGGTAACCCTTTCGCTGATGTACGGCTCGTTCGCACCGCTCAGGGAGGCGCCGTGAGCGGGGGCTCCATTGGCTACACCACAGGTAAGGCTGGCTGGCAGGTCTATGTGAGAGTATGTGTGGGCATTTAATGGGGTGTGGGGAGGGGAAGGAGGAGAAAATGCGAGGAAGTAGTTCGGAGCGAGAGGCATCCGGAGTTTCATGAAAGGATCTCGTAGCTTGCAACTCAATGCATTCTCGCCGATTGCTCCACTCAGAGAGGAGCCGAACTCCAGCAGGGTGCCTGCTGCACACCCCTGCCTCGCATTTCCTCTCCATCCAGCAATCCCGGCCCTTACCCTCAAGCCACAGGCGCCCTCCTCCTCCACAGGGGGCGCCCAGGATGTCGCCAACTTCCGCGCCAACCTGAACGCTTCGTACCTGCCTTTGCCATCCGACGTGACCTTCAATGGCATCATCAAGGACTACTACTTTGACACGTGAGGGGTTTTGGTGTTAGCTTCAGGATTCCCATAAAGGCACAAGGTTGCGGCTCCACCCCGTGCCACACCCATCATGGACTCCACTGTCCTGCCGGAGGCGAGCTCTGCCCTTGGGTGCTCCATTCCATGATGCATGTCTTGAGTCTGAAGCACGCATCCTACCCGTCCGCGCCAGGACCGGCGAGACGTCCCAGCTCTGCACCGAGCTCTTCTGCCCGATCTACTCCATTGGCACTTCGCCCCAGCCGGCCCTCGTCCAGGCGGCAGATGGGCCAGACTCCCGAACGAACGCCAGCGATCTGTATATGGCAGGTGAGCTGGGGTGGGTGATGTTTGAGAGTTCTTGTCATTCAGGGATCTTTGGAGTCAGTTGGTCGCTGCAAGATGTCGAATTGGAAAACTGTGCGGAGGTCCTAAGGAGTCCACATGCATGAGACCATCCTCACCTTCATGCAGTTGGCCTGGATTCCGGGATCCAGGCCGATCAATTTTCGCGCAAGAAGCTGAACCTGGTGCTCCTGCTCGACGTCTCAGGCAGCATGGACAGCCCCTTTAATAACTACTACTACGATCAGGTGCAGGGAAGGGTCAAGCGTGTGAACTATGGGAACTTGAGCATTCGCCATGTGCACTCAGTCGTGGTACGCATGATAAGGTTTACCATGGCAACCCCCTTGAATACGCTCACGGCTGCACCACTCTACTCCCTCTACCATGCGCAGTTTGGAGTGCAGCAGAACCTGACGGATGAAGGTACGGCTGTTTTGCGCCTGCATCCTCCAGGCAGCAATCCTGCGTGGGACTTTGATTCATTCAAGCCAGGAAGCCTGAGAATGCCACATGAGGGTGAAATTGAGGGCTCTGCCAAATGAGCGTAGAGTTTGACTGAACAGGCCCGGCAACACATGAACCCTCTTTGCTGACCTGCAGAGCAGCGCAAGACCAAGATCCAGGTGGCACAGGAAGTGCTGACCGGCATTCTGGACCTCCTCGGACCGGAGGATCGGGTCTCAATCGTCCTGTTCTCCACTGACGCCTGTCAGCCGCTGCCGCTGGGCAAGGTTGGGTGCCTGGACGTGAAGGCCCTCAAGGCAGACATTGAGGTGGGGTGTGTTTTGAAGGAGTGCTGGTGCATATGCTGGGGCACTTGAAGCACATGCATTGCGACATTGGAGGAGCTTGTGGCTGCTCTGGATTATGCATATGAACCTTGGGAGTCGCGTACAATTCTATGCACGAATGTGTGCATTCTTGAAGGTGGGGCACATATTTGTAAGGCTTCCTTTCAATTCCCCCACTCAACAGAGGGATGTCAAGGCGACCGACTCGACCAACACTGGGGCTGGCATGAAGCTGGCCATCAAGACATTGGAGGAGTGTGAGGCCTGTTTGTCTGCAGACCCTAATGAGTGGGAGAACCGGATCGTCCTCATGACTGGTGAGTTTTGTTGACACTTGGGGAGGCAGGGGAGATGGGACAGACGGGGCTGAAAAGGTGTATGAATTTGGAGCGACTGGTAAGCTCAGCCTCTGCGAAACCCCTTGTGCGCGGGAGGCCCCTCTCACCAAACACAAGAGTACTTGCCCACAAGCATACCAGCAAACATCCTGCAGATGCGCAAACCAACGAAGGCGCAGTGGAAGATTCGGAGCTGAAGAGCATTCTGGAGGATGCCGCTGCCAAGGGCATCTACTTCACGATCGTCGGCATCGGCCTCGAGTGAGGAAGTCCAGCCTGAGGGGCGGCGGTGCCTCGCCTGTTCGATGCGCAGGATGCAAACCAGGGAGCATGCGCACTGTTGCACCTTCCACACCTCACACCCTACTTTTTGCAGCTTCCAGACCACCCTGGTGGAGCTCATCACCCAAGTCAGCGGCGCCAACTACTTCTCCGTGCACTCTCCTGGTGAGGGGTTGCGAACATGGGCGAGCTTACGGTCATGGGCTGCACTGCTTCCTCACCCCTCATTCGCGCCTCCATTCCTGCACCCCAAGCCCATCATCCCACCCCAGTCTCTGAACCTTCTTTTCCCCCTACTATCCTGTCCCTACTCATCTCCAGGGGAGTTCCAGAAGCTCCTGGTGTCCCAATTTAACTACAGCGTCACCCCGCTCGTCTTTGATTTGACCCTGGAGATCCAGAGCCCCCTGGGCCTGGCCTCAGAGGACGGCTGGCGCATCCTGCAGGCGTACGGCTCGCCCAACAACGACTCGACCCTTACTCCGGATGGAAAGATTCTCAGCGTAGGTGGCAGGGGGGTCGTTTGGGGTGTTAGTTTGGGGTGGTAAAGGCGGGGTTGGTAAATCTGGGGGTTGACGAGGCACGTGGATGACAGTGCACAGTGTTTCCGGCGCAGAGTGAACGGGGCGCACTCATGGATGGTCCGCAGCGCGCAGGCAGAACTCCTTCCTGGTGACTTCCTGGAAGCATTGTAACAGACACCACTCTGGCAGCCTCCTCCCACACCGGGCTCCTGGCGCCAAGACAGGTCCACCACGCCCTCATTGCAGGTCAAGACGCTGTTTCCCAGCCCCAAGGAGGATGCAGCCATCAAGGGCGGCGTGGTGCTGGTCCGCATGCTGCGCCCCGCGGCCGCCAACACCCCTCTCCAGCTGGTGGCCAGTTACCGAGACCGCACTGCCTTTGTGAGGAAGCGGCCGGCCTCCAACACGACCAGGACCGTCCCTGCTGGGGATTTAGGCGCCACGGGACCAGGGGCCAGCTACCAGTCCAGCGGCGTCAGGAAGGCCATTCTGTTGGCGCGCTACACCGACCTCCTGCGTGGCTGGTGAGGGCGTTTGTGGATGTGTGTGAACGAGAGAGGGGTCCAGGATGGCGAATGGATCTCGTGCTGAATCTTCTACGTGCTTTGAGAAATGTCTATTCCCACCAACATTCCAGTTCTGGAGCACACCCATGCATCTCCTCGCCTCGCCCCCCTCGTCCCTGCCCAGTGTTTGCCTGCCATGTGAGACTCAAGACAACCACCTGCTCCTTCCATCATCCACCCCTGCAGGCTGGTGGACCAGTGGCAGGTGGCCAGCAACGCCACCGGCCCCTTGCCCATCCCGCCGACCCTGTGCCCCGGCTTCCCCACCCTGTTCTGCCCGGGGCCCCAGCTGGAGCCCCTGTCCTTCCTGGCCAGCTTGAGCGGGCAGGTGAGGGACTGCGGGCTGGAGCGCTGGGTCGCGCCCCGGGCCTGCATCATCCCCGTCCCCGACGTGGTCATCGCGCCGCGGCTGGGGGAGTGGGAGCGCCAGAGCTCCCCGCTCAAGATCTCTGCGGACGCGCGTCGGGCGTTCCAGGAGTTCCTGCCCTACTTCCAGGCCGAGGCCGCCGCGCTGGCTGACGCCTCGCTGGACCAGGAGGTCGCCGTCCTCGAGCAGCTCATCGCGCTGCCCGTGTCCTAGGCGGAGCAGGGGGGGTGGGGGCCTGGATTGCACACCGCCCTGATCTGACCGAGGGTGACCACTGTGACGACTTTTTCTCTGCACCGCATCTTCCAGGCTGCTGAAAAATGTTCCATCCGTACTGGAGCACGTCAAGCATCGTGCGTCTTGCTCCTCAAAATTAAGCTCCTCCATCCAGCCTGCAAATTTTGTCTCTGGGAGCTCGAGCTGCTCCCAGCAAGTAACCCCACCTTGTGCATGCTGACCGGCATCTGTATTCCATCTGGCCAATTTTCAGGCCCAGAGCTCGACCACTGTTATGAGAGTTTGTATTTTTTGCGACAATGTTTCGGAATGTGCTGTGTGAAGGGGTAACTTACGTGACATGGGGTACACATGCTCCCCCTGCATGCCAGTCGCACATGCATGAGATCGAAGTTCCATTCTGCTCCCCACAGACGAGAAGACTCGACTCCCCCTCATGCCGATGCAGCCTTGAACATCTGCCACACACATGTCGCATGTGAAATCCATTTGTCGACTCGAGCAACATATATTTGCGTGGAGTGCATGTCGTGAAGTGGGAGCGCTTGTCCGGCTAGCACCACAAGGACGTAACACCAGCCCGTCCTGCGAATCCAAGGGTTCGTCTACATTCCGAGGAGCGAAACCAGCGATTTGAGGGCGTCGAAGTTATCTGAAGGCCTTCAACTTCTGACAGCAAACCTCAGTTGCCCCATTCGACGAGCCATGCGGGCGCTCAGCTGATCATCGTGTTTTCGGGACACACTGCTCTCCCCAATCGATGCCATGCAGTCGGTGGCGGGCCTGCGATGCACCGCCCTTCGCCCCTTCATTGCATCCTCGAGGCAGCCAGCCCTGCTGCTGGCATGCGTCTCCCGGGCTTGGGGCCGGGAAAGGGCTGGCCTGCACAGGGCAACCCCCACCATCGCCGCCCTGAAGCCCAGCTCCGAGTTCCCGGCCGACTACCACATCGGCCAGACCAGCAGCGTGCCCCTGGCCCCCCTCTGCCCCCTGCTGGCCGGGACGGGCCAGGTCATGGCGGCCCAGGCCAACTACCTGCGCGTGCGGCTTGAGGAGCTGGAGGATGCCGCAGGGGAGGTGGCGTGGAGGGCGGGGCAGGCGCCCCAGGACCCCGGCATGCCACTGCCCGGCCCAGGGGAGGACACGCTGCTCTGCACCGCCAGGGGCCTGCTCAAGAAGATGCAGACCCGGGTCATGGTCGGCGACAGGGTCCACCTCTCGGGCATCGACTGGACCAGCCTGCGAGGTGGGGATCTGGGTGTGAGGAGGCATTCGACTGGCAGGGCGGTGCCTTGTGGGCGGTGTGTGTCGTGCGCTCCATGGAGGCATCAATGGGGGGGACTGTCCAGGTGTGAGAGCGGGTGCGATGGCTTGAACATGGGGAGCCTGCCCTCTGTGAGCCTGTCCGAGGCGCAGGGAGGCGACGCATGGGGTGTGAGCCGGAAACCCGACGGCGGTGCCCCATGCAAGGCCGCATGCCCAGCCTCTCATCGCAGTCCCCGACCGCCTTGTGACTATCATTCACGAGAAGGAAACCCCCTCCAACAAAACAAACCATCCTACAGGGTCTGTGGATGGCGTGCACCCGCGCTCCTCGGTCCTGCATGAGCCACGGGTGGCCAACGTCTCGCGCCTGCTCCTGGTCTTCTCCCTGGCGGCCCCGCCCTTTGACCCCGGGCCGGCCACGCGGTACCTGGTGGCCGGCGAGGCGGCGGGCCTGGACCTGTCGGTGGTGCTGAACAAGGCCGACCTGGTGGAGGCTGCGGAGGCGCAGGCGCTGGTGGATGAGGTGATCAGGGTCGTGATGA